AAAAAAAAGTACAATCCATAAAATTTATAAATCAGTTTTCATAAAAAAAATTAGCTTGTTCTTTTAAGACCCTGGTAAAGAGCCTTCTTGTGGTGCTAAGGGCTAAGTCTCAGCACTATCAAGCTGTTGGCAGCCACTGCAGCTTGAGTTCAGCTCCAGCCAGGGAGTTAACCTATCTGGCGTGGCAGACCTCTCCTGCCTCGCCTGCTGCTCCTCTCAGTAGTGTACTTCAGTGGATCTGCCTGTTTTGCTCCCCAGTCTGTCTCTGGTGAATTTTCTTACCCATTACCCCCCACACCTCTGGCCTACACCCCAGCTCTTGTATGCATAAATTAAACAAAAAAGACCCTGATAAGAAGATGAGAAACAATCTATAGTGTGGGAGAAAATATTATCAAGAGAGCTGACAAAGGTGTTTTATCTAGAATATATGAACAACTCAGAACTCAACAGTTAAAAAATAAGCAATCCAATTAAAAAGTATACAAAAGACACAGACATTTCACTGAAGAAGATATACAAGTAAGCACATGAAAAGATCTTCAATGTCATTAGCCATTAGGGAAATTTAATTAAAACCACAATGAGAGATCGCTGCACATCTATCAAAATGGCTAAAATAATATCAAATGCTGATGAGCATGACTGTACCATTCTTACATTCCTGGTGTGAATGCAAATGATACTGCCACTTTGAACTATAGCTTGGTAGTTTCTTATAAAATTAAGCTTGTAGGGTCTCCCTGGTGGAGCAGGGACTTAAGTGTCCGCACTATGAAGCTATCAGCCACCACTGTTGCACGAGTTTGATCCCTGGCCAGGGAGCTGACCCATATGGCGCGGCAGACCTCCTGACCTGGCCACTTGCCCCCTCAGCAGTGGATTCCATAGTTCCACCTATTCTGTTTCCCGCTCTTCCTCTGGTGAATCCTCTCACCCCCCCCCCCAACCCTGTACCTCTGGTGTATACCCCAGCTTTTGTATGCATAAGTAAGAAAAATCAATCTTTAAATAAATAAATAAAATTAAACATGTGTCTAATGAATGACCCAGCAACAGTACTCGAACCTTTATCCCAGAGGAACGGAAACTTACATTCACTCAAAAACATAAACATGAATGTTCATTGTACCTTTCCTCATCATAGGCAAAAACTGGAAACAATTCAAATGTGCTTCATAGGTGGGTGGTTAAACACACTGTAGTACGTCCACACGATGAAATACTATGCAATAATAAACGAGAAAAGAACCTTTGATATATGCAATGATTTGGATAACGCTCACTAGAATTATGTAAGGGAAAAAACTCAATAGGTTCCACATTGTGTGATTCCTTTCATATAACATTTTAAGAATAACACAATTATAGAGATGGAGAGCAGATTAGCAGTTGACAGGATAGGTTCAGGATCGGGCTGGTGATGGGTGGGTATGGCTGTAAAGGGGAGATTGAGAACATTGTGATGATGGGACAAATCTATGTCTTGACTGCATCACTTTCCACATGTGATAAAATTGCATAGGCTCTGCACATAATCCAAGTGCGGCTAAGTCTGATAATATCTGAATAAGCATTGTGCACTGTAGCAGAGTTAGTTCTGGTTGTGGTAGGTTACCCCTGGGGGACATGGGAGAGACCACAAGACCACTCTGCATTTTTGCTTTTTGCAACTTCCTGTGAATCAATAATTCTCCCAAAATTTAAAATAATTTTAAGTCACTTAGGAAACTATAAAGTGGCAGCTCTATGCCTGGTCTGAGCCAAGGAATCTGCATTTTAGCAGGTTTTCTAGAGCTGATGCCCCAAGAATTCTCCCACCACCCAAACACAGTCCAAGGGCACTGGATTTTAAGCCTTGATGACTGGTCAAACCCACCTACAAATGTTCAGAAAATAATGATACCTGTCCCGACCCAGCGTCACCTGACCAGCGTCTGGGGTGGGGCTCAGTCTTCTCTAATTTTAACAAGCTCCCCAGAGGACCCTAATGTGATCGCCAGTAATCAGGCTGGGGTCCCACAAACCCCAATTTTAAAACCCTGAGGTATATTTAACCAAGTCTCATGCCCACTTTCATTTCCCTCAATTCTTAGATTTAAAAGTGAAACATTTACATTGGACTGCACAGATATTTTGGTAACGTATTTTGCATTGATTTGGTTATTAGCAAAAATAATTTTACCGCTGATTTGGGTTTTCAAAAAAAAATAAAAAGGAATACTTCTCCATTCAAATGAAAGTTTTCCCTCCAAGTGGGCACTTGGGAAGTCTTTGTGGCTTTTTCTAGTAATATTGCTAATGCTAAAAACAATTTTGTCACAATTCCTTTCAAATTGCTTCAGAGTTGGTTTATGAACCTTGTGAGAAAACTGGCACCATTTTACATGTAAATTGTGTAATCTTGTGAATTTATATTTACACAAGCACTCATCTGTAGTTTGAGGAGCTCCTGAAAAGATCTGAAACCAAGACCCATGGAAACGAGTCTTGTTTTTCAAGCCTTCTTTTCTGGGTGCCTGGGATGGTGCAGCTGTTTTTGTCAGTGTGTGCCTGCCCACCCCATTCCAGTCAGTTCTAGAGAGCTGCGAATATGAGCGCCCCACCCTCTGCTGCTGTGATTAGACTTGGCCTCTGGGCCTTCCCTGTCATGGCGCCTCATCTCCTTGCAGTGGTGACTGGGGCAGCCTGTGGACATGACCTGGCCAAGGCCGTGGAACCTCCCCTGAATGCAAACCTGGAGGCTGAGTTGGGGGGCGTCCTGACTCCTCTCACAGCAGCCAACCAGGGAGTGTGTGACTCTGGAACTCTCCCTTCCCTTTGCTGCCAGCATCGCCTTGAGTATTTTGCCTTAAGGCAATTTTGCCATAAAAGATGAAATAACTGGTTTACGGTTGGTTTCAACAGATAGGTCCTCCCATTTTTAGATTAACTAAATCTTAGCCCTCATAATGATCTACATCGTGATGAGTAGACTATGGTCATTTTAAAATAATGAACACAACAAAAAGTGACTTGAGAGAAAATATGGAGATAAACCTTCCTGGAGAATAATAGTATCCACTTGCAGATCTTTCCAGAAGCACAATCATCCTTCTCACCCAACGAAACCCAAGTTACCAACCTGTGACAGTTATAAAAGGGGTGGCCAGTTACAGCCGTCTGAGAGTTTTAATGATCAGTTCCTTAGCTAAAGTGGATA